CCTAGGGGAATTTTTAGTGGGGTTTTAAGAGAAATTTTAATTGACATAGGCCACAGTAAATATTTCTTTTTAATTAGGTTTTAAACTGGGTATTTTATTGTTGTATCTGTTTTATAAGGCTGTCAGCCGCCCTGAGTCCGTAAGGAGAAGGGCGGGATAAAAATTAAATAAATAAATAAATAAATAAATAAATAAATAACCAGTCAATGATGGATATGGATCAAATATAGTAAGTTTCTGAAAAACTTATCCACATTTTAAGGTTAAATTAACTGAATGAGTGCATGAGTCCATACTTATCTGTTTCCTTAAGATATAATGGCACCAAGTAGTAGAAATCATCTGATTTTAACTATCAGAACAAAATTTCCCAAATGGAATTCAAGAGAAATGTAGGTAATGAAAACTATCGTGAGGTATCATAAAATTATCTCGGCAACATTCAAAATATACAATTAAGCATTAGTAAATAAACTCACTTGTTCTCCTGTTGCAACTCCAATCCCTAATGGTGCTAATGCCTAAAAAAAAAATTCGTAATATATCATAGGTTTTTAAGCGTGTCCAAACATACTTACAACAAATAAACAAAATGAAGTTTCTGCAGTTTGTCCATATTATACAATTAGAAGAAACTTGAAAACATCAATAGAACTGCTAGTATTTTTTTGCTTTGAAATTAATCAATTAGTTAATTACCAAGAGTTACATATAAGAAAGCATGTGACCATATAGAATGCGCTTAATAAATGGTACAGTTATGTACATTAAATCAGCATGAAATCAATAGATCTTATCCAGTACTGCATTTCTACTATGGTGCAAATATAAGCCCCCTGATACTCTAATGAAGTTTGACTATAGGTATCTTTTGTATATAATTGGGACATAGGCACGGATATATTAAAAATACATGATTCAAAGAGTAGTGCTGATTAATCAGCTCACACACAAAAATACATTTCAGCCTTTTACTGTATTATAATCCAAAAATATGAGTCATTTAAATTTAATGGAATATATGTTGAGTATGTGAAAGGATCTCTTACCAGGCCTATGTTAACAACTTTTGCTAGAATCCTGAAGTTCCAATGTAGCTGTCCAGCCAATAAATCAACATGGCTTTCTGGTGGATAGCAACTCTATTAATTGAAACAATGTCTCTTACCTTAGCAATTGTTGCATGTCCAAGAATATCATCAGGAGAAGTTGGTTCCTCAATCCATAGTGGTTTGAACTCAGCTAGTTTAGTGACCCAGTCTATGGCTTCTTCCACCTCCCATCTTTGGTTGGCATCCAACAACTATGAATAAATACAGTCTAAATTCAGTATGATGCTGTAGATTGTTCCTGTAACTATATTAAAACAGATGTAAAGTGACATAGGCTTAAGACAAGCCTACTGCTAAGATGGTCAGTGCCCTAAATGACATATCTGCTGGCTAATATTACTGAAAATTTATTTTGAAAAATGGTATTGTTATTTTTATTTCATTTTTTTAAAAAAAAAACATTTAGCAAGCATGTCGAGACGAAAATCAAATTCTTCTGTATCCTGCTTTAGGAATAATTCAGGGCACTGATAAGAAGACTTGACTAATCTGTTTCTAGTAAGTTTTTCTCTATTTTTCAAATTCTAAAATATAGCTTATTTGGCATCATACAAATGTACATACATACCAGTATATTTTCAGCACCAATCATTTCTCTAACAAGTTTGCATCTCCGAATGTCATCCTGGAGATCTTTTCCAACTTTCACCTTGTACCTAGGCACACATTTGCAATAAAATATGAACTATTCCTCAATAACTGCCAAACTTATGACAATTTTATTGTAGAAATTTTTTTTCTTGTATCATTCCATATTATTAATATTATCAGAAAAAAATGATGGGAAAGTTCCATTGAGATTGGGCTCAAGTAAGAGGAGGCTTCCTAAAATTCAAGGAATTTGACATTACATCAGGATTAGTTTATTTTAAACTTGGGCATTTTAAACTTCTGCAAATCATTTCCCAATCTATCCAGGCAATGCAAATTATGCCTACTAAAATTATTCTCCACAGGTTAATTCCTGATGACTACGTGGCTATTGGCAGCACCATAGACGTATTTACTTTTTTAGAAGTTTCTTTTCTTTAACATCTCTACACCGTACAGCAGTGTTTCTGAACTTTAAGTCAAGGTTCAAGTTCTATTGTTTTTTTCTGCCTGCCTATGCAGTGCAGTGAGTTAGATCAGTATTTCTCAACTTCAACACTAGCTTGCGAATTCTGGGAATTAAAAGTCCACACATCTTAAAGTTGCTGAAGTTGAGAAACACTGATCTAATCTGAAGAGAACAGTGTATCTGCTGCCAAAAAGGGGGAATGGAATAAAGAGGTATTGCTTGTGATACACCATTTTCAAAAAGCAGAGTTTCTGCAGTACATTGTAAAAGTATTCCTGCACTGTTGTATATCTTATCAAATTCAGAAAGTGAGCTAGTTCAGTATAGTGTAGCGTTTAAGGTGTTGGACTGACAATGATAAGACCCAGGATCTGCCAGCTGCAGGAAGGAGGTCACTGAGTGACTTTGCCCAGCATATCTCTCAACATCTACTATTGTGCTTAGAAGCATGCACAAGAAAAACATTACTGTACCTGGTCCATCCATCTTTCAGAGCTTCAGTGCATAGCTGCCAAGCAAATTACATCAGTCAGACCTCTAGAAAGTATAAACTAATATATATACTGTATATATATGTATATGTATATATGTATTATAAAATAAATAACTTATGATCACCAGGAGGATTCAAGTAAGAAAATACTTTAATAAAACCAAGCTTTTGTTGGGAGCTCCCAACATCGTCAGGGTTAAAAGCCAGTCATCGGAAACACCTTAAATAAGGTTGGCTAGGGTCTGCACCCGGCTCCTAGAGCGCGTCATCGGTCCTAGCCGGTTAATCTGCACTCTGGTCGTTTCTCTGGCGTCTGCATCTAATTCCCCCCTATCACTCTTTTGAGCACTCTTGCTTGTTCTCACAGTGCTAGTTCTTAACTTTGTTCGGACCCTTTTTCCCTCTTCCTCTTTAATACTGTTTATCCCCATGCTGTCTTTCTCTCTGTTACAGGTTACGGGGTAATTCCATTCCATACCATCATTTGTTCCATTGCGATCCCAAACACCCTCCCCCACTCTTGATTGTAAGTCAGTGGTCTCTTCTTGCTCCTCCTCCCCCCTCCTCTTTCCCTCTTCTATATATGTATGTATTTTTCAAAATTTAGATTGCTAACAAAGAATTAAGGGAGAACTGGAATAGCCATTTCGAATTTTTTAGTTCTTTTCAACCAGACATACCCTTCTGAGATTCGAACCTGGGCTGCCTGCATGTTAGGCAGATGTATTAACCTCTAGGCCACAGGCTCTTTCTCACTTTGTCAGCTATGAGACAGGGGAGAAGGATTATCTTGAATTTGGTGCACCCTGTGGGCCCAAATATGGGAGAAAGGAATCTTTTGCCTGTATCAGCTCAAACTAGAGCCATCCACAGGCGGCAGCAGTCGCAATTGCGACATCATATATGTTTTTCAAAATTTGGATTGCTAACAAAGAATTAAGGGAGAACCTTTCTCCCATATTTGGGCCGACTGGGTGCACCAAACTCAAGATAATATGTATGTATATTGTATATTTAGGTTTTTTAAAAAGCTGTATAGTTTCTGCAGAAGAATATTTCATAAGTGAACCATGTGTTAATGCTTCCTTTAATATTGGCTTTTAAGATTCATTGGTCTCTTGGCCTTTTCTAACCAGCTACTTTCCAGTAGCACCTACCCCAGCCAGAAGACTAATGACTGGGATGACAGGTCTGTGCTCAGCCAAGTCATCTGAAGGACAACCAGTAGAGAAGTCTTGATAAGAGCTCTTGCTTAAAAAAACAAGAGGTGTGAGTGGAAGCAACAGCTACAACCCAAGAGTAGGGAAGGGTAATATCTTCACCCCTGTTGCAAGCAGAAACAGGGTGTATACATAAAACTGTAAAAGGAATGTGATTTATTTCACAAACTCTGCCTATCATAAACAAGGTAGTCAAATGGGACAAATAAACAGGATTAATTAAGCTTCTCTTGGCAAATGCTAGAACTGAAAGTGGCTAAGGCAGGATTTGGCAATGTAGATTTCTGATAACTAACCTTACTACAATAGCTAATTAAGCTGCTTTGAAAGAATTTTAGCCATTCCTATGTGTCAAAGCAAGTCCCATTAATAAAGCTAGTCTTCAGCTTATGACTATTTATTTAACAACGGTCCAGAATTATGAGGGTCTTGGAAAGTGGAAAGCAGTTCTGGCCATTACAAAACATTGCACCACCACTCCTGCAGTCACATGATTGCAATCTGGGTGCTTGTCAAATGTATTTGCACTTACAACCCGTTGCCAAGCACCCATGACTGCCATTTGCAATCTTTTTTGCAAGCTTCCCCAGAAAATCAATGTGAAGCTGGCAGAGAAGGTTGCAAATTGCTGCTGCTTGCCAAAAGGACTCCCTCTTTTCTCTGGGGACTGGCTGAGATGACTGCCAATGGAAGCTGAACTCCTCTGGTGGGGTGCAGAAATGGAGCTCAGATACTTAAGACTTGAAGAGCTAAAAATCCAAACAGAGGATGGAGAGGCAGCACAGTAAGGTAAGGAATGCAGGGTGTTTCAGGCAGGTTCAGAGACCCTGGGAGGGCTAGTGAAGGTTGCATGCGAATCTCTCTTCAATCAGGGCGGAAAATGCTGCTTGGATTTCTGCAGGGGATTTTCAGCTCCTGAGTGGAGCCTCCCAGGCTCTTCCCCAATCTCTCTGCATGCCTTACCTGGGATTGCATCTGCTTAATGACCAGCAACATTGCTTAACCACAACTGGGATTGCTGGGATTACGGTTGTTGATTAATGCAGTCACATGACATCTTAACAATGGAAATTCTGGTCCCAACTATAGTTGTAAGTTGGGGATTACCTGTAGCGAGATCAAATTCTACTGCTTTTGCTTTTTCCCTGTGCAATGCAGTGGATTATAGGATTCTCTCTTTTGGTGAGAGAATCGATTGCCACACAGGGTAACAGACTAGTCTGGTTTCGGGCTATTTGCTTCTTACCTTGCCAGAACTAATTCATATAATCTCTTTCTTAGGTGAACATTCTGCTCCAAAGATGTCATGCCATGCACAATAGTAGGTAAACCATCTCAAACACATCCATACCAAAGGGTACATGTAACCATTTAGAATAGAGCTTGCTTTCAAAAATTCCCCTGCAAAATGCTAATTCAGTTACATATTTTTTTGTGGCATATTCGTGCATCTCAAAGCTGAAATGAGAATAAGGTGGAAAAAACAAACCTGCTTTAGGCAGTGGTCTGGATAACCTAGCCAGGCACAAGATGTGGTATAAGCTGGGTAGCCATATTTTAACATTTGTTCTTCTACAAATATATAAAATGATGCAAGCAGTTAAATGTGATTTCCTTGCAATAGATTTCATACCCTGGAAAACCCTTATTCCCCACAATGTGATATGGGAATAATTCTGAATAAAACAAACCTTTGATTTTCACAAAAAAGTAGGGCTGCAAAAAAAAGTATCATTGCTTTCCCTGCAGGTGGATGTTATTTTTTAACATCCTAAGACCATCATAAGATACATAATAATCCATTAATTAATTATTGATTTGACAAGGAAATAAATACTTTGTTCCTTACCCCGTTCTTTTTTTCCTGCCAAACCACTTTGAAGAATCGCTAGTGAAATGAAAAGATAAAGTGTAAATCAGAGCCAAAACAGATCATTAATTTTGTTTTGTTTTTAAAGATGACCTATTAGAGAAAAAATTATACAGATCATTTTGCACATGGATAGACTTGCACAGTGAAAAAGCCTGTGAAATTCCCTGAAGCACTAAGAAAGGCTATCATTTCCAGGTTGCAAATATCCAAATGACTGCTAGATGGCAGCAAGTAGTTACAAAAACCAATTATCCTCTATTACCATCTAATAGTTATTTGAAGGTTGACATTCCATGTACAGTAGGCATAGCAATCAACTTAAGAGTACTTAGCCTATGAAACAGAGTTCCCATGCAAAAAGTCATCAGTTTTAAGTCCACTAAAGCAGGGGTCCCCAACCCATGGGCTACGGCCCACAACCGGTCCATGTTCTATCTGCAACCAGACTGCGTGAGTGGCTGGCTACGATACGCATGTACATGCGCACACACAGCCACACTCGTGTGAGTGCTTGGGGCCTCACTTACATGAGTATTACAGGTGCTCTCATCCTCAATTGCCCAATGGGTGCTTAGGCCTGCGCATGCACACACTCCTGCCCCTCCCACAAAACCATCCCCTCTTTCTCCTCTCCTCCCCAGGCCAGCAATTTGGAAAGGTTGGGGAATTCTGCACCAAAGCATTATTTTTGAACTTCATCCCTTCACTTGAAATACATAAATAATACAGAAAACCATTCTACAAGGGCTGTAAAGGTTGCTGAGTTACTATATCGTTATTGATTGGGATACTTTAGGTTTTGTTAGTTTGGTACACAAACAGACCCCCAAAGTGTAAAGACAGCAAATATCATCTATCAAAAGGTATAACTGAACTGGAATATTTAAGGAGACCAAAGGGGAATATGATAAAATATATAGAGTAAAAACTGCATATTTCATTAATCAATTTAAAAGTTCAAAAATATCAGCGGAGTAAGATAAAACATATTACATTTTGAGCCTATTAAAAAGCAACTTACAAAAAGCTTCTTCTTCTGTTAGTGAATCAGTAATGTATCTGAAATCTATGCAAGATAACAATTGCATGGGGTCCTATAAGGAAAAGAGAGAGAGAAACCATGCTACAATTAACTAGCGAAATGATACAAGGATATACTCAGTCCAACTTCACTTACTCTATTACAGCAGAGAGATACAGTTGTTACACTATGTTGTAAGATTTTATACGACTTCAACTTCCAATAGAGGGTCTGAACCCCATAGAATAAAATCTTTCTATCCATAGCTGCGTTTCCTGGTAAAATACATGGGAAAACACCATTGGGGGAAAAAAACACCTTGGGGTAGGGTTACGTCTCCATGAATTTGGACACGAAAATGGACATGACCAATAAATTTGGGGTGCTTGGGTATGCTTACAAGGGTACTTACTTTTTGAGCCTGCCTTAACTACATTTCCTGGTAAATTCATGGGAAAATCTCATTGTGAAAAACCCACCTAGGGTTAGGGTTAGGTCTACATAAATTCGGACAGCAAAATGGACATCGCCAAAGGATTCGGGGCGCAGTGCTATGCTTAAGAGGGCACTGACTTTTCCATGTAGCCTTATCTACGTTTCCTGGGATGAGACATGGCAAAATTCCATTGGGGAAAAACGCACTTAGGGTTAGGTCTCCATGAATTCGGAAAGGAAAATGGATATCGCCAATGTAGTCGGGATGCTGGGGTACGTTTGGAGGCCACTGACTTTTAAATCTTACCTTATCTATCTTACCTGGTAAAATACATAGGAAAATCCCATTGTGAAAACCCACTGAGGGTTCCATGAATTTGGAAAGCAAAATGGATATCGCCATTGAATCCGAGGGACAGGGTTATGGTTAGGAGGGCACTGACATTTCCAACCTGATGTATCTACATTTTCTGATAAAATACATGGGAAAATCCCATTCGGAGAAAAACCCACTTAGGGTTAGGGTTAGGTCTCCATGAAATCAGACAACAAAATGGATATCGCCAATGAATTTGGGACGCAGGGGTACGTTTAGGAGGGTTCTGATGTTTCCAAGCTACCTTGGAAACATTAGGGTTAGGTCTCCATTAATTTGGAAAGCAAAATGGATATTGCCAATGAATTCAGGGCGCAGGGGTATGCTTAGGAGGGCACGGATTTTTCAGCCTGCCTTATCTACATTTCCTGAGATTTTCCCATCTATTTTATTAAGAAATGTAGATAAGGAGGCCTGAAAAAGTCAGGTGATGTCCATTTTGCTTTCCGAATTCATACAAACCTAACCCTAACCCTAAGTGGGTTTTTCCCTAATGGGATTTTCCCATGTCTCTTCCCAGGAAACCTAGATAAGGCATCCTGGAAAAGTCATTGCCCTAAGCATAATACTGCGCTCCGAATTCACGGGTGATCTCCATTTTGTTGTTGGAATTCATGGGAAACCTAACTCTAACCGAAATTCGGTTTTTCCCCAAGGGGATTTTCCCATGTATTTTACCAGGAAATATAGATAACAAAGGGAGAAAAAGTAAGTATCCTCCTAAGCATACCCCTGTGCCCCGAGTTCATTGGCGATGTCCATTATGCAGTCTGAATTCATGGAGACCTAACCCTAACCCTAAGTGGGTTTTCCCAAATGGGATTTTCCCAAGTATTTTACCAGGAAACGTAATTAAGACAGGATCAAAAAGTAAGTACCCTCCTAAATAATACCCTGCACCCCGAATTCATTGGTGATGTACTTTTTCCCATCCAAATTCATGGAGACCTAACCCTAACCCCAACTGGGTTTTTTCCCAAGGGGATTTTCCCATATATTTTACCAGGAAAAGTAGATAAGGCAGGCAGAAAAAGTCAGTGCCCTCCTAAGCATACCCCTGCGCCCCGAGTTTATTGGCGATGTCCATTATGCAGTCTGAATTCATGCAGACCTAACCCTAACCCTAAGTGGATTTTTCCTCAAGGGGATTTTCCCATGTATTTTACAAGGAAATGTAGATAACGCAGGGAGAAAAGGTCAGTACCCTCCTAAGCATACCCCTGCGCCTTGAGTTAATTGGCGATGTCCATTTTGCAGTCTGTATTCACGGAGACCTAACCCTAAGTGGATTTTTCCCCAAGGGGATTTTCCCATGTATTTTACAAGGAAATATAGATAATGCAGGGAGAAAAAGTCAGTACCCTCCTAAGCATACCCCTCCACCCCAAGTTAATCGGCAATGTCCATTTTGCAGTCCGAATTCACGGAGACCTAACCCTAACCCTAAGTAGGTTTTTCCCCAATGGGATTTTCTCAAGTATTTTACCAGGAAATGTAGATAAGGAAGGCACAAAAGGTCAGTGCCCTCCTAAGCATACCCCTGCACCCCGAGTTCATTGGCAATGTCCATTATGTAGTCTGAATTCATGCAGACCTAACCCTAACCCTAAATGGATTTTTCCCCAAGGGGATTTTCCCATGTATTTTACAAGGAAATATAGATAATGCAGGGAGAAAATGTCAGTACCCTCCTAAGCATACCCCTGCGCCCCGGGTTCATTGGCGATGTCCATTTTGCGGTCCGAATTCAAGGAGACCTAACCCTAACCCTAAGTTGGTTTTTCCCCAAGGGGATTTTCCTATGTATTTTACAAGGAAATATAGATAACGCAGGGAGAAAAAGTCAGTACCCTCCTAAGCATACCCCTGCGCCTCTAGTTAATTGGCGATGTCCATTTTGCAGTCCAAATTCACGGAGACCTAACCCTAACCCTAAGTGGGTTTTTCCCCAATGGAATTTTTCCATGTATGTTACCTGGAAACTACACTGGAAAATGGACATTGCTAATGAATTCGGGGCGCAGGTGTATGCTTAGGAGGGCACGGACTTTTTCTCCCTGCCTTATATATATTTCCTGGTAAATTACATGGGAAAATCCTATTGGAGAAAAACCCACTTAGGGTTGGGTCTCCATGAATTTGGACTGCAAAATGGACATCACCAATGAATTCGGGGCGCAGGGGTTTGCTTAGGAGGGCACTAACTTTTTCTATCTGCTTTATCTACATTTCCAGGCAAAATACATGGGAAAATCCCATTGGGAAAAAAACCACTTAAGGTTAGGGTTAGGTTTCTCTGTATTAGCTCTCCATGAATTCGAACAGCAAAATGGACATCACCAATAAATTCAGGACACTGGGGTATGCTTAGGAGGGTACTGGGTTTTTGAGCCTGTCTTAACTACATTTTCTTGTAAAATAGATGGGAATATGCCATTGGAAGAAAAACCCACTTAGGGTTAGGGTTAGGTCTCCATGAATTCGGATAGTAAAATGTATATCGCCTATGAATTCGGAATCCTGGGGTATGCTTAGGAGGGTACTTACCTTTTGAGCCTGCCTTAAGTACATTTCTTGTTAAAATAGATGGGAAAATCTCATTGGGGAAAAACACCACTTAGGGTTATGGTTAGGTCTGTGTGAATTTGGACAACATAATGGAAATCGTCAATGAATTTGGGATTCTGGGGTATGCTTAGGAGGGTACTGACTTTTCCATGGAAAACTCCCATTCTGGAAAAACTCACTTAGGGTTAGGGTTAGGTCTCCATGAATTCACACAGCAAAATGATATCGTAATTGAAATCGGGGCACAGGGTTATGTTTAGGAGGGCACTTAGTTTTCCACGCTGCCTTATCTTCATTTTCTGGTAAAATACATGGGAAACCCATTTTGGAATATGGTTAGGTGGACATGAATTTGGACAGCAAAATGGACATCGCTAATGAATTCGGGGTGCAGAGGTATGCTTAGGAGGGCACTGACTTTTTTAACCTGCCTTATCTAAATTTCCTGTTAAAATACATGGGAAAATCCCATTGGAGAAAAATCCACAGGGTTAGGGTTAGGTCTCCATGAATTCAGCGAGCAAAATGGACATTGCCAATGAATTTGGGGCACAGGGCTAGGTATAGGGGTGCACTGACTTTTCCAGGCTGCCTTTTGTATGTTTCCTGGTAAAATACATGGGAAAATCCCATTGGGGGAAAAACCACTTAATGTTAGGATTGGGTCTCGATGAATTCAGAGAGAAAAATGGACATCGACAATGAATTTAGGATGCTGGGGTATGCTTAGGAGGGTACTTCTTTTTGAGCCTGCCTGAACTATATTTCCTGGTAAAATTATGGGAAAATCACATTGGGGAAAAACCCACTTAGGGTTAGGGTTAGGTCTCCATGAATTCAGACTGCAAAATGGACATCGCCAATGAACTTGGGGCACAGAGGTATGCTTAGGAGGGCACTGACTTTTTCTGCCTGCCTTATCTGCATTTCCTGGTAAAATATATGGGAGAATCCCAGTGGGGTGTAAACCTACTTAGGATTAGGGTTAAGTGTCTATGAATTTAAACAGGAAAAGGGACATCGCTAATGAATGTGTGGCGCAGGTGTATGCTTAGGAGGGTAGTCCATGTTCGAGCCTGCGTTATCTACATTTCCTGGTAAAATACATGGAAAAATCCCATTGGGGATTAACCCATTTAGGGTTAGGTCTCCATGAATTCGGACAGAGAAATTGACATTGCCTATGAATTCAGGGCACAGGGGTATGCTTAGGAGGGTGCTAGGTTTTCGAGTATTTCTTATCTACATTTCCTGGTAAAATATATGGGAAAATCCCATTGAAAGAAAAACCCACTAGATTTAGAAATCTGGGTGTAGGATACACTATGCACAAATAAAGAAACGCTCTCCCTCTAAGAGGGAGTGTTGAAGTGATAGAAAACTGTGTGTTGAGTACCTGTACATGGGGGATTCTAATATTTGACAATGCTTCCTGGTGGTCAGTGAAGCTATTAAGACTAAATACAATGCACAAACCCTTTTACTTGTGTGCAGGAGACAAAATCCATGTGCAAAAAATAGGCTAAGTAGGTATTTCCTTAATTTGAAGTGACTTGCTCATCTCCTTTAAAATATGACTTGAAGTCACACACAAAGTAACCCAGAAGAACAGGTACAACTACTCTTCCTCTATAACATAGTCATTTTTCTCTACAGTATCTTATTTATATACTGCTAAACCTCTCATGTTTACCTGCTTATAATGTTCAATTGGGTGAAATGATGCATCATAATAATGAATTCTCTCTCTCTCTCTCTCTCTCTCTCTCTCTCTCTCTCTCTCTCTCTCTCTCTCTCTCTCTCTCTCTCTCTCTCTCTCTCTCTCTCTCTCTCTCTCTCTCTCTCTCTCTCTCTCTCTCTCTCTCTCTCTCTCTCTCTCTCTCTCTGCATATCTATCTATCTATCTATCTGTCTGTCTGTCTGTCTGTCTGTCTGTCTGTCTGTCTGTCTGTCTGTCTGTCTGCCTGCCTACCTACCTACCCACCTACCTATCTCTAGATAAATGCTATCTAGAATATAGTATTTAGTATACAAAAGCATACTTATTAAATATATAAAGTCATGTCTATAATAGAACTAAAGAACAGCCATGTTTATCCTATTCATGAACCCTTCAGAAAACTCACATTGCTGGAATGCATGGCATGACAAGGTACAGAATGGATGGGTATGTATGTGTGTGCGTGTGAGCAACAGATAACAGCTGGCACATCAAGTGGGTGTACAGAATGTAATACGCTTATGCTGCACTTTTCAAGAAGTAACAAAACAAGGAGTGGATGTACACGAATCATCTGTAACATTTCTGACGTGTCATGAATTTAGACTTGGAATAAACAAGTTGGATATAAAAGGAGAAATAAAATGCAATAGACTTCGGAAGCGTGAGATCTCCATGGGGAACAGAGGATGCCCTGAAGTCTAATTCACAACCCACTCTAACACAGCCTGGCCAAATGCTGTTGAGTGTTTGTAAGTATTGAATGTGTGAATGAGTAGCCTAGTTGGGCAGCAATACTTACAGCAACTTGAGTAGCCTTTTTGGGCACAGTTATTTGAATAGCCTTGTTGGGCACAGTTATTAGATTAGCCTAGTTGGGCACAATCTTTGACAGAAACTTGGGTAGCCTAGCTGGGCAGTTGCTTATTGAGTCTTGGTTTAGCCTAATCAGGCATTAATATTGTTTAACCTAGCTGGGTAACTATGCTATTGTGACAAGCTGTATAAGATAACGAACAAGTAACATGTATTAGTCAACTGTGATTGAGCACCTGCCTTGTTTTCTGTTCGAGTAACACAAGAATAAAAGAACTATTATTAAACTTTATCTTGAGTGAGTTTGACTCATTCATTTTATAACAATAAGGCAAAATGTGTGAGCCAAGGCATCTCAAATGGGCTAATATACAGAATACGTCCCAAATCTAGGAACCATCACTTCTGTGGGATTGAAATTTCACAAAGTTGTGGCTGCTTCAAGTGCTGCCACGTTGCCATGGTCAGTTAGAATCAAGTCATCTTCATTTCCAAGATTCCCTGCCAGCTTTCCAGAAGTCGATGGGGGAACTGGCATGAAATTTAAACTCAGTCATGACTGCTGATGGTCCCTGCCAGCTTTCCACAAGCAAAATCAGTGGGGAAGCTATCAGGCAGTTGCAAATTGAGGCCAGTAGGCAGGTAGGTGGCTGTTGCCAGGTGAAGGTGGTAGTAAGTGAATGACTAAGAAAGTGGTGAGAGTTGGGGATGTGCGATTGACATGGTACAGGACACGGAGGGTGCGTGAGGCTGCCTGAGTGGTACAAGGAGGGTCAGGGAGGATGCGCAAATATGCAGTGCAGGTCATGGACAGTGCAGGTTGCAGACAGTGTGCAAGGGTTCACAGGTATTTGACATGGCATGAGCACAGAGGGAATAGGGGAAGGTATGCAGATGGGGGAGACTTACCTGAGCAACTTGTACCTTCCCTGCCAGCTTGCCCATTGACTTTCTCCCTGTAACTTCCCACAAGCAAAATCAATGGAAAAGCTGGCAGCAAGTCAGAAATGGCTCCTACTCTCATGCTTTTTTACTTGCCCAGTCATTCTGTTAATTTGTTTAGGTAAATAAATATCTCTGAAATGATGACACAACTGAAACAAAGACCCAACAGGTCATGGGTTATCTAGTTACAATTATTTTCAAAATTGCATCGCAAAAGCATTAAATTAATCACTTTGAGATTCCAAGATCAGAAAATAAATAAATAAGTCAGAAATATAAAATTTCATGGATGGTTGTTTCAGGCAGAAAAAAGTTTTGAACAGAAATCCAAAAATAAACCAGTACACAAGGCTATCTACCTTCAAATCTAAATTTAAACATTTTTTAAAAATCTACAATATTGACAGTTTAGTTAGTTATGATGCCTAGTCTGACTGTTCTCAATATATTTAAACATGCTAAGTCAGCATCCAATGCTCTGAAAGAAATATATATATATATTTCTTTCTATTAATAATGCTTGATTTTTTATTTTTTTTCTTACCATGTCAACCAGCAGTTTCCAGAGAGGCTTTTAAAAAAAAGGGGCAGGGGAGAGAGAAAGAAACATTCTGAAATTCTTAAACATAGAAATAACATTTTAGAACACAAAAATCATTACACACACTGCAGATTACAGTACCCTCCCTGCAAGGATCCAGACTGTTAAATGCAAATGTTGGGATTTATGAACTACTTCAAAGATGATCACAGTAATAAAAGACTTTGCACTTCCTGCGTTCCCAAAAACTAGATGTGGGAAAGCCAGTATTGACTCTTTGTGAGTGTAGGTAGTCTAGTCACAATTATTCATGATCTGGAAATACCCAGCAACCTCTTAGGCCAGTGATGGCGAACCTTTTAGAAATTGAGTGCCCAAACTGCAACCCAAAAACCACTTATGCATCGTCAGGTGCAGGGTGGGTGTGGCCCATTGGCTGGGTGTGGTCAGTTGGGGGTGTGGCCCATTGGGTGGGCGTGGCTGCGGTGGTAATGGCAGACTGGGTGGGACCAAAAAGTTCAATCAATCAATTCCAACTTTGCAAGATTTTTTTTTTCCCCGCAAGAAGTTGAAATTGACTGATTGAACCTCTTTTTTTTTTGCACACGGCAGCGGAGGCCTAAAGTGAAAAGGTTTTATAAAACCCAGTTGAAGGCCTAGGACTGGGGCGACGGTGCACATGCCCACAGAGAGGGCTCTGAGTGTCACCTCTGGCACCCGTGCCATAGGTTCGCCACCACTGTCTTAGGCACATTATGTAGCAGTGTCTCTGAATTTCTGTCAGAAGTTTCAAACCACTGGGCAGGCAGCTGCCATACATTACATGGGCAATATCTCAGTAGATTCCAAGCAGCGTCTCTAGATCCTGCAAGGCTCTTTCTATCACTAGGCTGTCTATCCAACCAGGAAAGCTGAGGGTAAGCAGTTATCATCTTTCACTGGGACTTGCTCCTACTACTTTCTTTTATCTAGTCAGGATTATAGCAGCAAGAATGGAAAATGAAAAAGGCTTCCATTTCTTTTACTTGCAAAATACCAGGGTGCTGTAAGCCACTATCTGGGACCCAATATGGGGAGATTTTCTGAGACATGTAACTAGATTATAAAATTCACAAATGTCATCTAACATGTCTGTTTAAAATATTGTTTTATTCATTTGGAACTCTCCAAAGGAAACAACAATGAGTATTAGGGTTTGAGGAAAAAACTATTAGGATTCAAAAGCAAATGTAAAAGAAATGGAGAGGTTTATCCAAAATAGGGACTAATCCTGACAAGAAAGCAGCTTTGAAAGAAATCAAGCAAACACAACCAAAATAAAATCAAAATTCTAATGCACTGTCTGATTAATTATTACATCTAGAAGTCTGGGTTCTCATTATTTTTTGAGTCCTGGAATATTTAAGACCATAATCTGGAATGTATCTGTTCCTTTTTAGAGTCAACAAACAAAGAGCAAAATTCTCCAGCCAATACTTCTTCAATATTGGACTTCAAGGGAAGATATTCACCATATTACACATAAAGCAGGCCAATCCACAAGCCAGCTATGGATACATTGTTGATCCAATCTCTAGGGCTTGCATAGTAAACTGTGCCTGATAAAGCATCCACTACATCATTCAAGGTGCCAGCTTTGAACTACAAAGTACAAATGCTTTGAAATCAGAGTATCTGCTTCGTATAAATTTACTTTACGTTTATCCTGTAACATTCCTGTACATGTTTCCTTGCCTGCAAATATTTGGCAGGTAGAAAGAGCTATCCCTCTGACACCATTTCATTTTTGGAACAAACATTTTACTTTTATAGACTTGGCATACATGTTTATAAATTTGGGATGATGAGTAAGTATGGTGTGATTCACTCATTTAGCATATTGTTTGAGGGTTGCTACTTTGAATTCTATTTTGTTTGTTTTTACTTCATCATATTAGCATATGATGAAATCCTGCCCAATGTATGGGAGGAGGGCAACTTGTGGCTTGCCAGAAGTTGCTGAACTATTATTTCTGCCACCCCAAGTCAATAGAGACAAATGCCAGGACTTGCAATTCAAAGAGAGTCTCTTAAGAGTGCTCTGTTCCTTGTCGCTGGTCTAATCAATTAAGTACCCTACAAAATATAATAATGTTCTACAGTGATATTGTGAGGAGGCTTCTAGATCTTCACAATGTTCTGGAAATTATAGGAGTTCTATTTACTCAATCAGCCATCACATTTTTACCAAGCTGATAAATGAAAGACAGTTTTTTATAATCTATTTTTATTTTAAAAAAAAACTTAAAACAGCAAAACTAAATGATAAATGAAAGACAGTTTAGAAGGGAGGAAGAGTTGGATTTTTATTCCAGGTTGAGTATATGTTCCAAGGCATTCTTGCCTTCTATGATTTGAAGCACCAAGATAGAAGCAAAACAATATACAAAAGTTCTTAAAACCTTGAAGTTTGATATAGAGAAGGTGACAATGTAAAAATAGCACTGTGAAGAGAAGACCTGAATGACTCAGACTACATTCCTACACTATTTGTAATAATTGAGCGATATGTAATTTTTACAATTTATAAAAATATTGGTTCAAAACTACAGAAAAGCAGAATATATAAACAATTTAAATCCCCAACATACAAAATACTTAAAATACTTTTTCGTGTTTATCCATGAAAAACAGAGACACTGCAGGAGAGGATGGAAGAGAGCAGTGTTTGTTCAGGGATAAAGAGTGATATTTTTGTTTACTTGTTCTAAATCTTTACCTTTCCTTCTTGTTTGGCCCAGAGGTCCCAGATAGCATTCAAAATGGCAGCTGTGGCCAAATGTACAGCTCCTTTCTCAGGACCAATCTATTAGCAAAAAAAGAAAAAAAAAGAAACCTATGTTATTAAATTATTATGACAGCCAAGCACAAGTATATGTAAGGTTTCTATCTTTGCTATCATTTGTGGATTACTGAACTGGACACTTTCAAGAAAAAGTTTGATTTTAAAACTGCTAGGCACATATTAGCTACACAAGATCTTGTCTTACAGAATTAAAAACTATTTGATTCCTCACAGCTCTGCAAGTCTGTCATCCTTGTTTAGGAGACATGTTGCAAACGTTTATTCATTAAGAAAGTGCTCAGTGAGATTTAAATAAATTAAATACTATACTATTCACAGTGGTAGTCTACAACTATACAGAATTTTTGTTTTGGTGCCTTTGAGTCAGTGTTGACTTTTGATGACTATCTGGTCTAGACTCTGAAGTTTTCTGACAATGGACATCATGTACGGTGTGCTTTTTGCAAAAGTGAACAAGCCCAAAATGTGTCTGCACAAATTGATGTGTCTTAGAGTGAGTGAGTTTTGGATAAGGAGGTTCTTCCTATATGCACCTTTGTTTTGGGAGTAAGGAATTGAATAGAAGGAGGGAAAGAGTGACTGAAAAGCCAGTTTATATGTAATAAATACATTGGGTTGGAAAAAGAACCAGAAAGAAAGGGAAATGGCATGGATGACCAACTGTATCTTTAGGCTGTATGTTCTTGGTTCTCAACAACTGGTTCTAATTCTTCAGAAGTTCACAGAAGGAAGGGAAAAAAGATGGAAGTCTGCATCAACAGCTATTTATCAATGCCTGTTGTCTGGGTGATCTCAGTGCATTCTTTGTCTTCCAAAAGCCAAGTTTCTTCTGGAGTTGGGTATTCAAACCAGTTCAGACAGTGGCATTGGTATATTTAGCTCCTGTGTTTGATCTTCACCCAGGTGACATGGCTATTGAGTTTTCCAGGTTCTGAAAGCTAACTCAACAGATCCATGGATGCAAGAATGTCTAAGGCAGAGTCCTGGAAAAGCAAAGCTCAGGTCCTAAAAAGTATCATGGCCACTGCGGAGCAGTAACTACAACACAATATCTTAGCAGGCCTATGCCCATATCAAGATCATGCTACTGATCTGAAGCCAGGTCTGTTAAGGACACCCAACTTCAGATGCCTCAAAAAGGATTCTCTTAAACAAAACTTGGCAAGGAGAGGACAGTTCAGAGTTGACTGCCCAACTTCACTATTTCCATTGAGGGACTCCTGCTACTGATGGAAAAATGAAGCGCAAAATGAGCTTTTGTCCCCATTCTCTTTCTGGTTTGGCCAAAATATATCAGTGTTTAATACTATGTTTGCCCAATGAGGATTACTCAGAGGAACTCCTAATTTATCCCCTAACCCAAGGCAAATTTACAAAATATTTAGCCCTTCCTCAAATATTCAAGATGATCAGCACTGTTTATGTGTTATCCAATCAATATTTCAATAGGATGCTATCTATGTACTCCATTTCCACATAATGGGAATTTTACTCCTATAGGATTCATTGGCATTACCACATATGTAAACTGGGGTGATGGGGAAGGAGAGTTCTTATAAACATTTGTTTCTAGTAATTCCTCTTCTCCTCAAACACCTACCATGTTATTATCAAGGCCTTCTTTTAGGCTTTTAGGAAGAAATGGTGCCATATGGATTTTAGGAGTAGGAATGTCTCAAGAATAAATTACTGATCAAATTTAGGGTTGCATTACAATATGCAGACCAATCCCTTTCAGATCATCAGATCAATGGGATTTTCTTTCAATTTTGACCTTGATGTTAACATTTTTCATATATGCTCAGAAGCTGATGGGAAAATAGGAAGGGAATTCAAAACTGCAAAGGTGGAGGTGAGGAAAGTCACAAAATTCTATGACTTAAAAATGTAAATGAATAAGTAAAAGGTTGGGTGACAAAAATACAAGAATTCAAATAATATTTCTATTTTAGGTCATATTAAAGCACCATTTTCTTTGAAAGTCCTATTTTATGTAGCATTTTGAATAAAGCAACTATATAAAATCAAATTATTTTCTCTTATTATGTTCTTAAAGAACACTTACACCCATATATTAGCCTTGTTGAAAATACTGTAAGTTATCTTACCCATCGGAGCTGCCCATCACTGGTGAGCTGCCTGTAGAAGCCTCGAAAATCACTGATTATGTCATCCAAATCTTTATTAATTATGTGAGTTGACAGTGCATGGACTGCACTGATAACTGAAAGAAATAATCACCATCTAGAGGTTACTACAAATACAGTACTACCATATCTATTCATTTAGAATATGGTGAACAATGGAAAAAAAACCCCTAAAAATAGAAAAAAACAATCTAATTGTAATTGTTATCTAAGAAACATTTGTTATTAAGTATATTAAAGTAACACACGTAGACACACAAGATTGGTCCCAGAATCTGTCTCTCTTTCTTTAAAAATAGAAATTCCAGTACTGACATAGTGAGGTCTAGGAATGTTTTTTTAGGCACACACAATTCAATTCCAATAAACTTCAGATGTCGAGAAAAAAAAGGAGACAGCTTGTTTTAAGGACCACAATATTAGTATTGTAGGTGTGTTGTAATGGAGAGAAGGTAAGCAACAAGCAGAGCAAGGTAAACTCAACTATTACATTTTTAAGGCACACATCTACAAATATTGATCACTTACACAAGTCAGAACATGACTTATGATATTTATTGACAAACCAAAGTGGGATTATCGTACTATTAATTTAGGTTTATTAAATAAATTGTGACATAACGTGTTGTGATTAAACCGGCCTTTGAAGTTGAAATAGCAACATGTAAGAAAAGTCTGTCCTGAAGAGGATATTTTCCAAAAGGAAACAAGGTGTTATTTATAGAAAAATTCTCATGATTTGGGAAGCCAGCCCTGGGAATAGCCCAAGAACTTACCCACTTCTGTGCCTTTTCCCAGCGTAAACGTAAAGCCACAACCTTTCAAGCCATCGGGAGCATCCGTTTCTATTACAACGTAGGCTGCGGAATAGTCTGGATCTGGATGCTAAACAGAAAAATAAAGAAACCTGGGAAAGCAGCGCAACACGAAGAAGTGCTGACTTACACGGGACACAACCGAAAATTGGCGTGGCGTCTCTAATCCAAATTGCCTTAAATCGAGATCGCGGGAGTCCAACCAACGGAACTTGCCTCAAATTAAGTTCCAGGCAAGCAGGCTTCAATCCTGAGAAAAGGCAGACGGGGCTCTGTTTAACTTGGAGAAAGAGCCCCTAAAGCAGTGTTTCTCAACCTTGACCATTTTAAGGCATGTGGACTTCAACTCCCAGAATTCCACAGCCAGCAAGGCTGGCTGTGGAATTCTGGGAGTTGAAGTCCACATGCCTTAAAATGGTCAAGGTTGAGAAACACTGCGCCTAAAGCCTCTCCGGACGAGAAGGAACAGCGCGGAGTAACGCTCTTGCAAGTTGCCGTAGAACTGGGTCAAAGAACTGTTCGGCACCCTCGCACCTGAGGCCGGTGCTGCTTGCCCTCCCGCCGTCCCCGCCCTCGCTCTGCCGAGCACCGCTGCGCTTACCATGGCATCTGAGCCGTGGTGGGCCAGAGACGTGGGGAAGCGGACATCGCTCACAGCCAGACCCCTGATCCTCCCTCTCCCCATCCCGCAAGCAGCGCTCGGCACTCCAGGAAGCAAGACCCAGCGACTCTCCCGCTTGAGAATTCCTCTTAGACGCTGATTGGCGCGCAGGGAGGGCGTGGCGACCCTGGAGAGGGGAGGGAGCTGGAGGAAGGGGCGACCTGCGCGTCGCGTTCTTCCCCTTCTCTGTCAAACAGAAGTTGAGCTTTTGATCCCAACCTCTGCAATTGGTTGTCAGGTCAAAAGCGTGTGTGTGTACGTGTGTACGTGGTCTAGGAAAACTTTATGAATGGGCAAACCTAATCCTTTAAAGAGGTGTAGAGCCGCTTACGTCTTCCAGTAGCCAAAGAAATACGACCAGTGTTTTGGGGAAGGGGAGGCGTTTGGCAGCAATTCAAAAGTGGGCTGGTTTTTTTTAAAAAAAAGTATTTTCCAGATTATTTTTCAATTTTGGGATTTCCGGATGGCGTGGCATCCAAGCCCTAGCCACATTCAATCCTGCTTAGCTTTTTCAAGTTTAGATAACGTCGTTAAGAATACAGATCCTAGATGTAGTTCGCCATCCACGCATCTAAAAAAAGCTTTAAAGTCCAGAACGTCAAACCATCTCCCACCCCCTCTCGTTTCCCCTCCCCTCCTTATAAGGTCCATCATGGGTTGATCAGAAAGGGCATCCCCAAAAGGAGGTTCTTACTGTTATTAATCCTTTTTCTGAGGATTTTGCTGATACAAGCTTTGTTGTTGTTAATTGCGAAGTCGTGTCCGACCCATCACGACCCCATGGACAACGTTCCTCCAGGTCTTCCTGTCCTCTACCATCTTCTGGAGTCCATTTAAGTTCACGCCTACTGCTTCAGTGACTCCATCCAGCCACCTCATTCTCTGTTGTCCTCTTCTTCTATTGGCCTCAATCTTTCCCAGCATTAGGCCCTTCTCCAGTGAGTCCTTCCTTCTCATTAGGTGGCCAAAGTATTTGAGTTTCAACTTCAGGATCTGGCTTACAGGATGTTAACTCCAAGTTAGTTTTTGGCTTAATTTTATTGCATAACAACAGTATGCATAGTGGCATACCACCACTCTTGTCTATTAAAAATGTTACTGTAGAACTGGTTCAATTCATAAGTTATATATGACTTAACTTTGTCTATGCCACGGGTGTCAAACTCGCCACGTCACATGACGTATCGCGACTCTTTTTGCATTGCCGGCAATGGGTTGGGCGTGGCTTCGGGATGATGAAACCGGCCTGTGGGCAGGTAGTTTGACACCCCTGGTCTGTTCAATTAGGTCAAATTTAGGCTTAATTTTATTGCATAATAATAGTATACATGCTAGCATAAGCACTCTGTCAATTAATGTTGTAAATTATATTTTAGAATTTTAAATTGTTGGAACTTTTAGAAGGGCAAGTGTCCCCAATACCAGTTTCTATTTCACAGCTGATAAATACTATTTTGTACTCCATAACAAATTTAGAGGAATGTTAGAATTTTAACATGTATCATGCTAAATACAATGTTGGGGATGCACTTACATAAAAAGAGTTGCTGAAGAAAAGTTAATCTGTTTAAATTTCCATACAATATTAATCCATTTTTCTACTTTAGTAACAGAAGATGCACTAATTTATTAAGCTTTGGGAAGTTTAATTATGCAAAAGTAATAAAATATTAAAAATATTTAAACTTGTCAATATAGTATGATAGGAAAACCAAACAAAATAAAAGGTTACCACACAAGGTAGCTTCAACAAAACTGATACACAAGGCTTGCAATACAGTTTCTATCAGAAATGTTACACAATAGTTTTCAATACAATATAAAAATCATTCTTAACTGGTTAACAATGATTACAGTACAGGAAGTGCTGAAAATGCAATAAACATAGGAATTGAAAATGTAATAAATTTGCATTTGTTATTCTGAAAATTGTTCTAGTAATTCTACTTTTTAAAAAATACAGTGTTACTGGAGGTGCTGGGTCATGCTGTACAGTATTGACAAAAGAATAAGATTGTGCAGGAGGCATGGAATAAAATTCACAAAAAATAGTTTGAGGTTATACTGGACTTTCCCATTGAAAGGTCCAATGAAACTAGGAGCCCTATCAGAAAATTGTGGCACCCTTTATTTCTAACTGAAAATGTGTAGAAATTGTGCTTATTGCTCCCTGTCCAACGAAGGACAATTAATTTAGTAGGAAAGTTACCACCCAGATAAAAGGGGATACAGTACTTTCTTAACAGTTAACCACCAAATCACATAGCGCAGGAAGAGGAAATTCCAAGATCTTTACATTGTTATAAGTAGCTCCTTCCCATCCCTAGCCTTCACTTGTCTTCAAGATTGTGGAAACATACTTCATGATTTTTTTTATGAGGGCCCATCGTACAGTATCCACCAAAATTTCTAAACAGAGATACTTCATCCCAGAGACCATGAGATGTCTGCATATCTATTGTGTTTATAAAGTAACAAAGTGCCTTATGCACACATTTACAACGTTAGCAAATATAAGAAAGTGCCTTATGCACATGTAATGGTTAGTGTTTTCCAATATTTAATGGAAGATGACAGTGCATTTTAAAGAAATAGCATTCCAGTTTCATACAGTGGAAAGAGACTTCCTGTAAAAGAACAAGTCTGCTCATGCACACTGTCTGGCTTAGCTCCTTCTGCTATTAGATACCAGTTAAACAAATCAAGAAAAATTAAAATTTAAAAATGCAAATCAGGAATAATGTCTGAGTTCAATTTCTTGATTTGGGATCCCGCGCTCGTATCAATAATAGAAGTTTCTTGATTTGCTTAGCTTATACTAACAGAAGAAGCATAAGTATCATTTAATAATAAAGTATGCTTGCTTTGGCTTATTTTGATATGCAAACCTATCCAGAGAAAGGACTAAAACAATTTCTAATATTTTTAGGGCAAGAAAAAAAATCTTATAAGTGAATCATGGCTCTTCAAGATGATGTATTCTGTATTCTGTTGAAATCTACTAACAAATACAAATAAAATAACATACTTCAGATTATTCTCTAAAGATCAAGAAATATAAAAAGAAATAGAGCAGTGCTATGCATGTCAACTTGTAAGCCTCACTGAATCAATTACATTTAGTCAATTAAACTTAGTATAGATAGGATTGTTTCATTTCAAAGCAACTTGGAACTTATCAGGTTATTTTCTTAAAAAATAATTTTGTAATTAGAACTTTAAAAGCAATCTTGTGAAACAAATTCAACATCATATTTTATAAAAATAATCACACTTTTACATGTATTACTATATATAGAAAAGTGTTGTGTTGAATTATTTGCTCACATTAAAATCTTGAGGTAATACACTATAAAATAAGGAAAAACAAACATGGAAGGTATAACGCTTAAAAATACATATTTTTCTTCAATAAACTCATTAAATTACTGTTTTTTTTAATTTCAGTACTATACATTTGTTACAATGATTTGTTGCATTTTAATTAAAATCCAAATAACACCAGACTAGTTTTCTGGCATATGCATTATTACATAAACACAACTGCACTACCCATTTCAGAATATAAAAGAAATTACAATCCTGTATTATTTGCTACATAGCCCTTTCAAAATTTCATAGTTTTGGGATGTATAAACGAGAAAAGAAAATGCCACTTGATTGCACAATTTTATAAGTTTATATAAAATCTGTGTGGTTTTTCTGATAGCAGTAATTATCATTTTCACAGAAAAGCTTTGAAGTGCAACATTTGTTTTGAGTGGAAAATTCTAAAATGCCAAGAGGATTTTATTGCTTGATATGATAAGAGGTTATGATAGCTCCTACTCCCCAGTATACTTGCAAGTAGTGTATGTGTGCAGTTTTAATATCATTAGCTGAATTTGGCTTAGGTGCTCAGTCTGTTCGTATAGCTTAAAGCTATACATAATGGTTACGAAAAATCTAACTCTTCCCAAGAAGATGGATTCAGCCCACTCTTATTTTTGATCTGATGGTTTTGTAAAGAGTTTTAGGAATCGTTATGCAACCATTTATTGTCTAGTTGACTGTGAATCACTATGTATTATTAGAAAGTTGGGCTACTGTCCAGTATCATTATCCCAACACTTACAATGTTGGGCTAAATCCAGAATTCTGACAACTCTGTGAACTGCAGAAATGGGAAAACAATTCACATCAATCCCTCCACTCTTTACCTCTGTCAAAGTACGCTGTGGGGGTTGGAAGATGTTCCAGAATAGTATGAGGGGCTATGTCTCCCCACATAGAAGTTCATTTCATTCACTGAGGTTCATATCTAGATCTGATCCATTGATGGGCTCTAAGATCTTAAACAGTATTTTTCATAAATGCTTTGACAGAGATACATAACAAAAAGAAGCTGTGCAATCTAGTGAATCCCTGAACATTTTAATTGATGAGCCTTCATAAGCATTTGCCACTTTACTTCCTTTTTCAGATGTGTCTTCTAAAATATATATTTATAAAAAACTGGGATATGTTTCACTGGAAATTGGAACTTTGAAACACTACATCTTGAAGGTTAAGATGTTATCTTTAACCTCTGATTGCATTTTGCAGTTTCAGGTTTAACATTGTACTCTAGTAACTTAATTACAAAATGAGTTAATGGTTTATGAAGTTAACTTCATTCTTAATTGTACTATGTAGGAAATAAAATATGCTACTTTCCAGTTATGATATATTAATATAAAGTTTCAGCACAGTGCAACATGCTTTTCAGTTCCATTATTGAGGTCTAGTATTTAATCAAGTTTATCATAAATTACTTGCTTTAAAATTAAATTTTCTTTGAGTTGAAGTTGACTCCTGGTGACTTCACATACATGTAGTTTTCTTGGGAACAATACAGAGTTAATTTTTTCCCCTTTCCATTTCCTTCATCCATATTTTTCCCATTTTCCAACTTAGTCTATAGCTATAATGTTCCTGAAACTTTTCCAAGAACTAACCACGTCTACCTTCTGAACTCAGAGAAGGTTGGTCAGGTGCTGCCATCCGCTGAGAGCTACCCTAGCTAGATCAATAGGAAATGAGCCTCTAGAACAGGGGTCCTCAACCTTGGCGACTTTAAGGCTTGTGGACTTCAACTCCCAGAATTCCTCAGCCAGCAAAGCTGGCTGAGGAATTCTGGGAGTTGAAGTCCACAAGCCTTAAAGTCACCAAGGTTGAAGACCCCTGCTCTAGAAGAAAACCTTGTATTTAAAGCCCTCTTAATACTAACATAGAATTGTTGGTCCCATAAACTATTTTATTATCCTTTGACCATTTCCATTCAGAAGTTTATATTTAAATAGGTGAAGTTCCCTTTAATAATGACCTAAAAGTTAGAAGAAAAAGAAATCAGCAGCTCCACTGTTATAGCAATGCTAATTTTACCACCCATTTTTTCAGTGTATTTTTTTTTTTGGACCCTGATATAATATGGGAGAAAAATGTGTCATTGATACATTTATATACAGGTATAACACTTTAAAAAGTGGTTTTGTGCAACCATATTTCAGAATTCCAGTTTGCCAGCTAACAAGAGCATGCAAATTGCAATTTGCTTTCTTTTGAGTTCTTCCAATTAGCAAGGATTTTTTTTTAAAAAAAAGTACTCTACATTTGGCATATTTGTGCATGGGATGTAAGCCATCAATTTATAAATTGTCTCCAGGCTGGTATTGTGGTTCCGTAGCAGTAAAATAATCTTCTAAGAAAGACTGAATATATTCAAATGTTGGCCTTTCATCGGGATCTTTCTTCCAACAGAGTTTCATTAATTCATGAAGAGATTCTGGGCATCCCTGAGGACAAGGCATTCTATATCCACGTTCCACTTGTTCTAAAACTTCCCGATTGACCATTCCTAAAATTAAAAGAATAGCTTTAATATTTATATTTTATCAAGTCGGAAGAGGGTTTCAAAAATCTGTCACGGTTTACTTGGAATGGGTATTTATATATTGTATTCACACATAACATTAAATAAATTTTAAATTTTGAACTATTCCAAACTATAGCTTGTTTGGGGAAAGTCCAACTCTGGCTTGAAACTAGAGGTTATATTTGGATTATTGAACACAATAGTGGCTTAATGTGATATGTCCATATGTTGTTTCCCAGTTTATTCCCAATGTATTTTTCTGCCTCTGAGACACTCCAAAGAGATGCAAGAGAACAGTAGAAAGAAAGAAAAAGAAAAAAAAGAAAAAAACTAGGAAGAAACTGGTTGTATAAATAACACAATTATTTTGCTCATCAAAGGTTAGCTTTGGCTTCTTTAAAAACCTATGGTAAAAATGATCTGGCATACTGTCTGTTATTTATGAACACAGTGAATTTGATGTTCTAAAATAGTGTGTCTCTACATTTTTTAAACACATTGAATTGCAGCTTCCGTATCATAGCTAGTTTGCATTTACTGTAGTATCTTCTCAAGTATGGTTCTAGCTAACACAATTTATTTCATTAGAATAGCTGATTATAAAAAAAAATCCCTAACATAAATAACAGATTATGCAATGATATAACACACACACATTAGTAATGATTTTTCTCCTTTTACCTGGGTATGGCACACGTCCCTTTGTTACAAGCTCTGTCAGCAAAATTCCAAATGACCAGACATCAGATTTAATTGTAAACCGACCATATAGTGCAGCCTCAGGTGCTGTCCATTTAATTGGGAATTTGGCCCCTAAACATAGAAAATAATGTCCTTTAATATTATAATTTATAATTATTTTAAAATTTATTTTGGTGGTACAATATACATATATGATTCTTATGGGAAAGGATAATTTGATAATGTCTTCTATTGTTATAATAGCATCCATTCTGTTAAACATAAGAACTAATCTAGAGATTGGATCTCTTTCTGCTGAAAAAGAACTGCAAAGGTATCTTTGTTATACTCAAAGAGAAAAGTCTAATTGAGAATATATGTGGGAGTAGAACGTGGGTGACAACAAAGTGAGTAATACTGTCAAATTAACATATGGTTAATGGTACTCCTGTCAAGGCTGAGATTGTTCTACACAGATAATGGAGAAAATCTATGCATTTTAGAATGCAGTTTGGTAACTACTGTAAAAAAGTTGCCATGTAAATCTGTGTATGTGGAAAACTAGCACATAATTATTCTTTCTATTATACAAATGACTTGCATGGTGTACATAACATGTACATAACAACTGCAGCTTTCAGGACCTGATTATAATCCGAAGTTCAGATGGTACTGTTCCTTTATAAACTGCTTGGCAAATAACCTTGAATATGAATCATGGTATGTTGCAAAGTTTTATAATGAAACAAATCCCTATTCAAGAACAATTTTACTTTTGGAGAGATAAGGATTTATTCTGGCAATTTATATTGTTGATAAATAATTCAACAAATTTAGAAAACTGTTTTAGAAAAGATAGAAGTATATTGAATAATCCACTTTAGAGAATGTCCAGTTTCTATTGCTAATGACTATATAAATGGAAAACAAATAAAGAATATACATCTATCTCAGAAAGTATTAAAATATTAGTAAAGCACTTAGTCAAACTAGAACACAGAGGATATAATCATAGGGTTAGAGGAGACCTTGAGGTCTTCTAGTCCAGGGGTCCCCAACCCCCGGTCCGTGAACCAGTACCGGGCTGTGGTATGCCAGCAACCGGTCTGCACAAACAAGCAAAGACCCATCCACGAGATGCAGCACACAAAACCACGCACCCTATGGTCCGCAAAAAAACCTCTCTCCACGGAACCGGTCCCTGGTGCCCAAAAGGTTGGGGACCTCTGTTCTAATCTAATCCCCTGCTCAAGCAGGAGACCCTATATTTCAGACATAAACTAACTTGAACTGATCAAGAATTCAATAACACATTATACATATTAATAAAACAATATTTACCATATTAGACAGTACATAAAGAATATTGTAAATACCTTGTCTAGCAGTGTACTCATTGTCTTCTATTAATCTTGCTAATCCAAAATCAGCAATTTTGCACACCAGATTATCCCCTACAAGAATATTAGCTGCTCGAAGATCTCTATGAATGTAATTCATTCTTTCAATGTACGCCATGCCATCAGCAATCTTATAAAAAAAATGTATCCTATTAACTAAGTAGTATTCAATCAATGAAATACTTAACACAAATCATGAAAATGATTCACTGGGTACACGTGACACCGCTGCTGCGCGAGCTGCATTGGCTGCCTGTGGCCTTCCGGGTGCGCTTCAAGGTGTTGACTATCATCTTTAAAGCGCTCCATGGCATCGGACCCGGATACCTTCGAGACCGCCTCCTGCCGCAGATTACCTCCCATCGACCTGTACGCTCCCACAGAGTGGGTCTCCTCAGGGTGCCGTCGGCCAGACNAAAGTTGCCATGTAAATCTGTGTATGTGGAAAACTAGCACATAATTATTCTTTCTATTATACAAATGACTTGCATGGTGTACATAACATGTACATAACAACTGCAGCTTTCAGGACCTGATTATAATCCGAAGTTCAGATGGTACTGTTCCTTTATAAACTGCTTGGCAAATAACCTTGAATATGAATCATGGTATGTTTCAAAGTTTTATAATGAAACAAATCCCTATTCAAGAACAATTTTACTTTTGGAGAGATAAGGATTTATTCTGGCAATTTATATTGTTGATAAATAATTCAACAAATTTAGAAAACTGTTTTAGAAAAGATAGAAGTATATTGAATAATCCACTTTAGAGAATGTCCAGTTTCTATTGCTAATGACTATATAAATGGAAAACAAATAAAGAATATACATCTATCTCAGAAAGTATTAAAATATTAGTAAAGCACTTAGTCAAACTAGAACACAGAGGATATAATCATAGGGTTGGAGGAGACCTTGAGGTCTTCTAGTCCAGGGGTCCCCAACCCCCGGTCCGTGGACCAGTACCGGGCTGTGGTATGCTAGCAACCAGTCTGCACAAACAAACAAAGACCCATCCACGAGATGCAGCACACAAAACCACGCACCCTATGGTCCGCAAAAACACCTCTCTCCACGGAACCGGTCCCTGGTGCCCAAAAAGTTGGGGACCTCTGTTCTAGTCTAATCCCCTGCTCAAGCAGGAGACCCTATATTTCTGACATAAACTAACTTGAACTGATCAAGAATTCAATAACACATTATACGTAGTAATAAAACAATATTTACCATATTAGACAGTACATAAAGAATATTGTAAATACCTTGTCTAGCAGTGTACTCATTGTCTTCTATTAATCTTGCTAATCCAAAATCAGCAATTTTGCACACCAGATTATCCCCTACAAGAATATTAGCTGCTCGAAGATCTCTATGAATGTAATTCATTCTTTCAATGTACGCCATGCCATCAGCAATCTTATAAAAAAAATGTATCCTATTAACTAAGTAGTATTCAATCAATGAAATACTTAACACAAATCATGAAAATGATTCACTGGGTACATGTTACAAACACAATAGCAGATTTACAATGTTTAGATTCTATAATATGTAGCAATATTATTTTGCAACAGAATTAAATAATCTTAAATTAGAAAAGTCTATATTCTTTTTGTACTCTGAGTATTACATACGCACATTGTACTTGTGCAAAGCAATTTTCTAGAACATTCTCTAGTGGACTTTTTTTTTGGTGAAGGCTCATGCTTAAAGTCTCTGCTTACACTGAATTGCCCAGAATTCTTTTTCTGGCTATCAAAGAGGCAACCGCCCAAAATTTCTGTTTGAGACTTTCCCTACACTATTTTTCACATTTTTCCTTTTATTTTTCTCTTTTGTTCTTTCTACTTGACTTCTTAATGTATGGTTCCTTGGCCTTCTTTCAGAAAACCACTGGTTTCAGAAATAAAATTCTAATACTAGCAGTTAATTCCAAGTGTTTGTTTTTAGTTCGAGGGACTACTTGCCATATACAGTATGCCATCACTGTTTTATCCTTCAGATACATCTTATTTGATGATTTTCTCGAGAGTAGGTGTTGTAAATGAACCAAATGCAGAGAGTAAATATCTGCCTTCTACGAAAGTTTGTGCATAGGGCAAAGTTTACAGTCAGTCTCTACTGTTTTTAATACCTGCTCTGGCTTTGATTCTCTGAGTTCTAAGACCAGATTTTCCTACGTCTATTTTGAAATTAAGAGCTATGTATTTTGACACCAGGCTATTTGATCTTGGTGAAGATAAGAAAGTGAAGTAAACTTGGGAAGACAACAAAGTGAAAGAGAATTCCACCCTAAATTTACCCCATCTTTTGCTGCTCTACTTTTTATTTCAGTCTCCTATTAGATAACCGGAACTTTCTTTGGCATTTATGTAGATGTTATCCATATGCTTCAGCTTCATTCTCTTTTTAAAAGTATTTGTATGTTGCATCACTGGCTTCCATCTCAGAATATGAAACTTATTTATCTGCATTTCTTCTTTAGAGATTGGGGGATTGCAACATATTCTTCCAGATGCTACTTCAATCTGAAATGAAAACTCATTGAATGAGGACTACCTGTAGTAATTA